GGGCTGATTGAATCAAGTGGTTGGAAATCAAGTCCAATTGAAGAGATTAGACGTGCTGGGGTCACTTTGGCTGAAGCGTTTGGTTCCAGTAGTCACTCCACCAGATCTCCTCTCCTGTCCTCTGGGGGATGGGAGCTCCGGCGGAAGCCCAGGAAGTGCGGTGGGGACGGTGAGACGTTCCGGCGCATTGAGTAGCCTTTCCTGGGACCAGGGAGCCCAGCTCTGTGTGCAGCCCAGTCCCTACCTGCAGAAAAGGATCAAAATCCAGGGGGAGAGAGCCTAAAAGAGTATTTTTTCCCCTTCTTATCCTCACTGGGGTCCCCAAACCCTGCAGTCACTCCCGGAATCTGCTGGGAACCTAGGAGAGAGCAGGTGACAAAAAAGGGCAGAAAAGGGGAAAGAAAGGTATAAAAGAGCAGGGAAGTCGAGAAACTCACCTGGTTCACGGTTTTCTTGACCTTCCCATTTGGCCAATAGGGATCACTAAGTCAGTAAGGACCCCGAGAATAAATGGGCCCGGAGACAGTGTCCTGGAGTAGTGGCTGAAAGTTGGGGTCATTCCAGAACTTGAGAGTAGTGTGGCTCATTGGCCAGCGACAAGCGTGTATTACAGGCTGGACTGACTGATCCCTGCATCCCTGGCGACAGCTTTGGCGAGTGGGAACTGTTTGGGACCACAGAGGCAGGTACACTGGAGGAGGAACAGCAGAGAAAATCGGGGCAGACTTAGAGACAGGATCAGGGGACTCAGAGACTACCCTAGGCTCTGACTTGGCCAAGGAACAGTGCTGCCGGTGGGGGAACGGAAGCCTGAGACTTGGGGGCGGGGTTTCCCCACAGTGGGGTCGCTGGCCCCACTCTTCTCCACCATCTAGACCCGTGGCTTCAGGTTTAGGGGTTAGAGTTGCTGGAGAGCTAGTTTCCTCCCCACACTTTCCAGCTCACCCTTTCACCGGGTGCCTCCTCCGAGCTGCAAAGGGCTGGGGGCGGGGGTTGGGGGAGCCAATCCCGGCAGCGCCAAAGAGGGGAGGCGGCGGTGACAGCCGCGGGGAGGGGGCGGGAGGAGAGAGGCAGCTCAGCTCTAGCTCCGCGCTCAGCTCCGCTCTGCTCTGCCTCAGCTCTGCGCTCACCTGCTGCCCTAGCCTCCCGCTCCTGCCCAGGACCCCCGGGTGGGCCCCAGACCCCAGGCCCTGTCGGGCTACTCTGCCTCTGCCAGGACTCCCCGACCCCTAGCCCCAGCAGCTCGCTACGCCGCCAGGGGGCGCCGTGTGAGCGCTCTATCCCGGCCACCCGGCGCCCCCTCCCACGGCCCAGGCGGGACGGGAGCGGGGCGCCGGGGGCCATGCGGGGCCAGGGCCGCAAGGAGAGTTTGTCCGATTCCCGAGACTTGGACGGCTCCTACGACCAGCTCACGGGTGAGTAGGCGGCGTGAGGGTCTCAGGAGGGAGGGTGGCTTTCATATCCCAGACCCTTCCGCCTCTCTGATCCCAGCCCAGCCCATACCCACTTTCTGCCCCATTCCCCAGAACTTCCCGGCTATTCTGGGCAGCAGGACACGGGGGTTCAAAGCCTTGGGTCCCACAGGGGAGAGGGGGAGGAGCAGGCCTGGCAGGTGTGGAGAGGCAGCAGGTGTAGGCGTGTGTGACACAGGGCTGGGAGGGTGGTACGTGTGTGAGCACCTGTCATTCTTGTGTGTGTGTGCGCGCGTGTGCCTCCCACACCTGGTTGCCATGTGCCCTGAGCTGGATGACAGCCAGGGTGAGTGTGACTGTGTGTGGCAGTGTGATTGTATGATCTCGTCAGATGTTTAAGCAAGGTCGTATAGGACCCTGCTTGTTTTGCTGAAGTTGTTTTGACCATGTGTCTCTGTTGTATGTGCAGCTATGTGCTGTGAGTGTGTGCTTCTGTATGAAGTGGCATGTGACCACCAGCACGTACCAGGGCTTTACTTTCTGGTGGTATGCCTCTGTAAGACTTTATGACCGTGAACCTTCTGGGGCTAGTATTTGCTAAAGTGATTGTGTTATGTTTTGTGCTCGTGAGACCACGTGGGTTATATCAGCCTCTGACTGTGTACTTCCACGCGGTCACGTCTGCAGTGGGGCTGTGTCCATGACGTACCTTACCCTTGCTGTCTCTCTGGCTTTCTGGTGCAGATCGGCGTCTTCAGTGCACCCTACTGCTTCCCCAAGTTTTCCACAAATAGCCCAGATGGACCCAAGGAGCAACTTCAGTGTCTAGCTGCCCAGCCTGGCTCCCAGGGACACCCTCTGGCTCCAGGACCCTGTCCCTGGAGAAGCTTTGATTAGTGCTGGGTCAGTGGTCCCCCCACCCCCAATTATTCAGCTCATTCTTACACCCGAAGCTCCTTCCGCTCACAACCACGCTTCCAGAACTTCACCCAAACCCTGAGGAAAACAATCCTTCTGCCTCCCCTCCAGAACCAGAGACAGAAGCTCTAGGCCTGGCAAGTGCTACATGGCCTCCCAGTATTCCCACCCCTCCCCACCCAAACCTCATTGCTCCCCAGGCAGCTCACCCGCACATCGGAGAGGTAACTAAGGCTGGCCCGCCTGCACACTCCGAGGTTTGGGGGCAGAGCCTAGTGTTTGTGTAGGTGACCGTGTCACCTCGTGTACGTTTCTGTGTCCGTGCGTGTTTGCGTCTCACTATGCAGCTTGCTTAAGAACTCCAACAGAGTGGGGAAGGACAGCGACCCTAAAGGGGTGGTGGAGGGAGTTCATGATCTGTCCTTGAGGCGACTGAGGTTGAGACATGACATCGAGGGAGGGGACTAGGATGTGGTGCCTTGAGAATAAGTGTCTCCCCCACTCAGTGATCCTGGGAGACCCTAGTTGTAATGCCACAAGGGGGAAACTTCCGCTCAGTCAGGCCTGACGTATGAGCGAGTTCCAGATGTGCCCCAGATGTGCCTCAGACCTGGATGGAACCCAAAGGTACAGCTGTCAGGGTCTGCTGTGAACTGCTCCCACCAGCTCAGGGTCCTTGAGTTTCGTAAGGGCTGGGCCCTCAGCACCACGTTAGTCAGTGTTCACTTTCTGCTTTAATGGGTTCCCCCCTTTAGTGAAATCCTCCCCTCCTCACGGGGTTATTTCAGTCAGAGACTGGACGGAGGTCGGGAAGCACCCAGAATGAATGGAAGTGTCCCAAGTACGTGGCTTTTGTCCTCTGTAAAATGGGGAACAGTAGTCTCTGCCTGCCGGTCTGAGTCGCGAACGTTGACAAGCATGGAGAACATGTTCCAGGCCACACGTCCTGTACTGCACCATGACGTGGGAAGTACAAATAGGACTGCCAGGCACTCTCCTCTTCAAGGAGGGCTTTTCTTACAAGAGAAGACCGATGGGGTGGAGATGCCAGTGTTCAGACTCCCACCCAGCCTCAGGCTCAGAGTGCCCAGCGCCTATCTGAAGCCCCACGGCCAGTCGTTGTCCGCGGTGCTGAAGCGCGCGCCTCCTTTCCCTTCCCGATGCACGTGCGGGATTCCTAGGACCCGCCCTTGGGGTATTACCCCGGCCCATGGGGCTGACAGACAGGCGGCCTAAAGTTATATACTTCAGGGGATCTTAGTTCCCACTGACTGCTTTCTTGACCATTCCCGTCCCAAGTTCAAAACCGAGCGGGGAGTGACCTTTATTAAGGAGAAATCAAAAAGTCTGATCCCAGCTTCTCCTACCCGTCCCCCATATCTAACCGCTCGGGTCTTCCCAGCCCAGTGGAGCCACTGGGCAATGTGGCACTGTGGGAAAAGGCCTCTATGGACAGCGGCCCTATCTGAGCGGAAACGAAGGACCAGAGAAGGTGAGGAGAGAGTTAAGACCTGCAGGGCCAGGCCTGAGCTCAGGGTCGCTAGGACTGGGATCTCCCGAGTCTGGTCTCTTTGGTGTAAGTATCGTTCCTGGGACTGGGGCGCCCCCGTGTGGCCTAGGGAGGCCATGCATGCGGAGCCGATTCTGAAGGGGTCTGTGGACAGCCAAGTCAAGTGGCAGGATTCGGATGGACTTGAGAGGTGATCTCTGAATTCTTGCCTCTTAAATACAGGGTTTTCAGTTAAAGACACGGGCTCCCAGTCGGAGAGGTGGGTCACACCTCTCCTGAAGGCTTTCCTATGAGTTCAAGGTGCTAGAGGATCCTGGAAGGCTTTGCTTTACCTAATGAGTTCAGGAAAGGGGTCGGGTCGGGACTGAAGAGGAATCTTCTACTTGATACATTCGGCTCGGAGCCAGCGATGAGAGCAGTCTGTAACCCCGCCAGACCTAGGCAAAGGCACAAATAGTTACAAAAGAAAGGGATTTGGAGCTACGAGACAAATACCAGTGGGGCACATCCCTGTCGCCTCTCCGTTGCCACCCCGGTACGCTGGCCACTCTCCTCCCTTCTGCTTTTTCTCCCATTGGTTCAGGAAGTGTAGAAGTGTGGGGCGTTGCCATGACAACTATGTCCTCTTACCTCGGTGCTTTGGCACAAAGTGGGGGCAGGGGCGAGTGCTACAGGAGAGAAGGAGTGGCTGGAGATAAGGTTCATTCGCGATCCAGCTCCTTCTGCAAAACTCGTGTGTGCCTGGCTTCGCCAGAAATCCAGAAAACCTGCCCGGAGAAGGCGAGTCGGAGCAACCTCTGCCCCGCCCCAGTCTCCCAGTCTAGGAACTTTGGGGAGCAGTGCTTCAGATGAGGGGGCCGGGGTGAGTTCCCCTCGTCCCTCGTGCAGCCTCCTTGCCTCGGAGGCGGGACCCTGCGAGGATGCGGAGGCTTCGCCGCCTGCCAGTCCGGCCTTCCCGCGCCGCCCACGCCGGGCCCACCCGGCT